AAAAAAAAAGAAAGATATCCCCTCTAAATCACTCTTGATATGTAAACCTTCATTAAGCTGATCTATGAAAGCAGCTCACTAAGAAAGGTTCTAGAAGTGACTGCAGGAAGGAAAGAAGTCCATGGTGGTGCAGACGACTAATATACTCAACAGCTAACTGAGAGATCAGAGGTTCGACTCCACCCAGATCACCTTGAAAGAAAGGCTTGGTGGTCTTGTCCTAAAAATGTGCTTTGAAAACCCCATGGAGTGCAAGCAGAACTGTATAAATAGAGCATGCATGGGATTATCATGAATTGGGGTCAGTTTGGAAACTATTTTGCAGTTCTGTTCTCTTTTCACAAACACGTATGTTTGGCAAAGTTGCTTTTTATTGTAGTTTGGATGAAAGTTTTACAGAGCAAATTAGTTTTCCACTCAGCAATTTATACATTTTTTTTCTGTGACATTGGATTCAATCCTGTCAATGTAAGACTCTTCCCACATTTTTCTTGGGTTCCCTGTTCCCAATTGTCCCTCTTTCCTAAAACTTCCTGTCATCTAAGCTTTGTTTTTCTGTCCCAAAGCTGCCCATTTCATCTCCTATGTTTGACTGTATTAAGGAGTACACTATTTCTTGGTGTTGTTCTTTACAAGTCTATAGGCCCAGTGGTGGGTTCAATTCCTGGCTGTAAAGGTATCTAGGGGTTTCAGTCTTGGAGGAGTTTACCAGCCTCTATTGGACCAAAAAGTCTGGTTGATTTGTTAAAAAATATTTTTTAATATTGTTTTACTTTTATATCCTCCCCCCTTCACTGACCAGGATTTTCTACTGTGATTCTGAACAAAATGATTAGTAGTAGTCTGTGAGCACCATCTAGTTCTTCTGGAACAAAATGATCGGTAGTAGTTTGTGAGCACCATCTAGTTCTTCTGGTGTCAGGGTAAGAAGGCTATAGCTCACGTGCTTCATAGTTCTATTACCAAACCCGTGATTTCCAACTTCTAGTCCTTCTTCCTTGTTTCTGACTTTGCATACCAATCACCAATTATTATTAGTAAATCTTGAATTGCATGTTCTATCAGGGAGCTCCAGTAGCCCAGTGGTAAGAAGCTATGCAATTCTGAAGGCACATGGTTCAAACCCGCAGCTGCTCCACAGGAGAAAGAAGGGCAGTCTTCTCCCATGCAATTTACTGCCCCTACATGGTTTAAAATTAAAGAAGGTATACATCAGAGTTATATCCTTTCTCCAAACCTGTTTAATCTCTATGCCAAACAAACATTTGAGAAGCTGAAGTTCATGAAGGAGAATGCGGCATCAGGAGAACCTGCCAGAGGGTCAGCAATGGGTCAGTTCTGACTAGACTGTACACAACAATAACAATCAATTTCCTACTGAAGAAGTTGGTAGAAATCCTAAACTTCTTCTTTGGCTTTGATTGTTGCTGTGTGAAAAGAAATGAGGATAGGAATAGAATTACTGAATTTGTACAATCAATAATTTATTCATTTTTAAATAGCATTTGAAAACACCAAAACAACAGAAGCAGTATCTTGGACCTCACTCACCTCACTACACAGGAATCAGATCAATACCAGCAGTCAAAATCAGGCAAGGAGCAGATTGTGGAACTGCTCAAGTAGAAGGTGAAACTGAAGCTGAAGAGTTCATACATATCCATATCCATATGAGCCAAAATATGCTCTTGATACCACCTGAGCTGATAAACCACCTCGAGAATAGGTCGAGGCATTGAACGAAGACCAGATGAGTTGTAGAATGACATCCAGGAACAAAGTAAGAGGTCATTACACAGACAAGAGAGAAAGGAAATATCAAAGTGGATGTCACAAGAGAGAGTGAGAAATGTACTGGAATAACAAAGAGGTCAAAACTAAGGGAAGGATTACTGAAGTAAGGGAGACGAACAGAAGATTTCAAAGGGCAGCTCGAGCAGACAAAACAAAGTATTATAACAATATGTGCAAAGAGCTGGAATTAGAAAACAAACAGGGTAAAACTCATGCAGCATTCCTCAAGCTGAAAGAACTGAAAACAAATTCAAGCTTTGAGTTGTAATACTGAGGGATGTCATGGGCAAAACCCTTGATCCAAGAAGCATCAGAAGAATATGGAAGGAATATATGGAGT